GCTTCTTCGGTCGCTGAGGGTGCCAGTGCCGCCGGTCCCGGAGCTTCTGGGTCTACGGGTCCGCTTGGAGCTGGAGCTGCTGAGGGTGTTGGTTCTGAGACTACTACTGTCCGTCCAAGCGGTGGTCGTGCTGCGGGTGCTGCTGGTGCTGCTGGAGGTCGTGCCGCTGGAGGTGCTGTTGGCGCTGGTGCAGCCGGAGGTGCTAAGGGTGCTGGTGCTGTCCCTGCTGTGTCTGGAGCCCCCGCGCGGCCTCGGCCGTACTTCGTTCCGCTCCTGCAGCAGGTTCTTGGTCCTTCTCCTCCTGTAGAGTGTCCACCGCCTGTCCGGTCACAGTCACAGTTAGAGCCCGCCTCCCCACTGCCTGCTCCCTCTCCTTACACTGGTCCTACTGGAGCTCTTGCTGAGCGTCGTGAGCCTGCGTCTCGTTTCGCGTCGCCTGTTCGTACTTCTCGCGCTAGTGGACGTATTTCGCGTCAGAGTCCTCTCTTCCTGCGCTTGCCGACCCGGAGTCGGACTCCCTTCGTGCTGCCAGTCCTACTGTCACGCTTCTCCTTGCTACTGTCGTCACTGACCCCTCTTTTGAGTCCACTGCTGCGTCTGCTCTTGTTGCTGAGCATACCGACTTTGCTGCTCGTTGTCGTCTGGACTACGCTGCTAGTCTTGTTGCTGAGTCTGCGTCTGTCTGTCCTCCGTCCGTCGGGGGTGAGTGTGCTCTTGGCACGGACGTCCTTGAGGACACGCAGGAGGAGTTCCAGTGTCTGGCTGCTGCTTCACCTCATCTCGCGTCCGTACTACTTGCCCCTGAGGGAGACCCGGATGCACTAGACATCCCGACTCCGCGCTCTTACGCGGAGGCTGTAGAGGGTCCCTACTCTTCTCAGTGGCAGGCAGCTATGGATGCAGAGATGGCTTCCTGGAAGTCCACAGGCACCTACGTTGACGCGGTTCCCCCTCCTAGGGCGAACATCGTCAGTGGCAAGTGGATCTTCAGGGTGAAGCGGCCGCCGGGCTCTCCACCTGTCTTCAAGGCGCGGTACGTCGCTCGTGGCTTCAGTCAGCGGCAGGGAGTTGACTACTTTCAGACCTTCTCTCCCACCCCAAAGATGACCACTCTTCGGGTGCTGCTGCACATAGCCGCTCAGCGCGACTACGAGCTCCACTCCCTTGACTTCAGCACTGCTTTCTTGCAGGGTAGCCTGCACGAGGAGATCTGGCTACGCCGTCCACCTGGCTTCACTGGGACTTTCCCTCCTGGCACCCAGTGGAGCCTCCGACGGCCAGTCTACGGTCTCCGCCAGGCACCGCGTGAGTGGCACAACACATTGAGGACTACGCTTGCGGCTCTTGGGTTTGCTCCCTCGAATGCTGACCCGTCGTTGTTTCTGCACACCGACACTTCTCTGCCGCCGTTCTACATCCTCGTGTACGTCGACGACTTGGTCTTTGCCATAGCTGACACTGCTGGACTCGCCTACGTGAAGTCCGAGCTGCAGAAGAGACACACGTGCACAGACCTGGGTGAACTGCGCAGCTACCTTGGCTTGCAGATCACTCGGGATAGAGCACGCCGCACCATTACCTTGACTCAGTCACACATGGTGCAGCAGGTCCTTCAGCGCCTCGGCTTCACGTACTCCTCGCCTCAAGCCACTCCTCTGTCTACTCGCCACTCGCTCTCAGCTCTGCCTTCGGATGAGTCCGTAGAGTCGAGTGGCCCGTACCCAGAGCTTGTTGGCTGCCTCATGTACCTGATGACCTGCACATGACCTGACCTTGCATACCCTCTTAGCATTCTTGCACGCTATGTTGCTCCTGGGAGACACCGACCAGAGCACATGGCTGCAGCGAAGAGGGTGTTGCGCTACTTGTGCAGTACATCAGGCATGGGGCTAGTGCTTGGACGGCGGAGTCCAGTGGTCCTCACTGGGCACGCGGACGCTTCTTGGGCTGACGACCAGGCTACTCAGCGGTCGTCACAGGGTTACACCTTCAGTCTTGGTTACGGCTCTGTTTTGTGGCAGGCTACTCGATCGTCTTCTGTTCTCGGCTCCAGTTGTGAGGCTGAGATCTACGCCGGGGCCATGGCTGCACAGGAGCTTTGCTGGCTCACCTACCTGCTGACTTACCTTGGAGAGCCGCCTCGTTCTCCTCCAGTGCTGTACGTAGACAAAAAGGCCATGCTGGCCTTGTGTCGAGAGCAGCGCCTGGAGCACAGAACGAAGCACATTGCTCTCTGCTACTTTCTTGCTCGTGAGCTGCAGCAGCGTGGTCAGTTGCGGCTTGCGTACGTGGCCTCTGAGGCCAACACTGCTATGTTTTCACCAAGGCACTTCCGCCTTGTGATCATCAGCGCTTCTGCACTCAGCTGGGACTTGTCCCAGTCTTGCCTCACTTGCTCACCTCTTGACCTTGCTTGTACTCTTGCATATATATATATATACCTGCTCTTGCTTGTTTAGCCATATATATATACATGTGTACTCCTACATGTGAACTGGCCTTGTGGCCTTGACCTTGTGCTCGGACTGTGTGGTGACTTTGTGATCCACCCTGAGCTTGCTTTGCTTTGCTTTGCTTGACTGGTCTTGTGACCCCTTGTTCTCCCCCACTTTGCCTATGGGGGTGTGTCAGAACATATAGCTTTTGCATATTGTGTAGGCTATAGTGGGGTCGCCCACAAGGGGTACAACCCAATTAGGGTTAGTATTTGTCCTCACTTCATTCAAAGTTCACTCATTCATTGCTCAACTCTTCTCAGTTCGCAGCTGGTCGATCAGTTCGTCGTCGCGGGGGATGGGATACCGCGATTTGACTGTAACTCTGTTGAGCGCTCGGTAATCTATGCACATGCGAAACCCTCCGTCGTTTTTCGGTGTGAACAGTATTGGTGCGGCGAACGGTGACGAGCTCGGTCGGAGAAACTGCTTCTCTAACAGGTAATCTAACTGCTTTCTTAGTTCGTCGAGCTCGGGCTGTGTCAGTCTGAACTGGCGCTGTACAGTTGGCTGTGCCCCCGGTTCTAAATCGATCTTGTGGTCATGCGCCCGCTGAGGTGGCAGTCCTTGAGGTAAGTCGTCTGGAAAAATCCCCGGGTACCGTTTCAATAGTTCCTGAAGTTCGGGCGGTACTGCTGCCAACAGTTTCTGAAAATCGCTCGGCTGCTCCTCTTCTCCCACTAATGCTATATCCACTGCGTACACGTCAGCTCCAGTGGTGACAACTCGTTTCATTGTGATGGCGTTGACGTGGACCGTTGAAGACTCGGGTGGCTGCCAGCGAGGTAGGACGACCCAGTTACCACTACTTCGCACTGTGCAGCTACCCGTCGTCCAGTCAATTCGCGGGCTATACCGTCGCAGCCAATCACGTCCCAATAAAATGTCGTGCCCATCCAGTGTCGTTGCGAGCATTTCCTTTGTAAACCGGAAGTTCCCTCCGCAGCGGACTTTTACTCGCTCCACCTTTTCCCGTATGACCAGTGGCGTGCCGTCGACTAAGCGTGCGTCTATCTCAGGTAAGCATCGGTTAAGTGTTAACTGTAGTTTCCGTGCGGTCGCGGTATAAACTAAACCGTGACTTGCTCCTCCGTCAATAAAAATCTTCATTGCTGCTCCCTGTATTTTCCCGTGGATCAGTACTGGGCAATCCGTCGCTGTACCCTCCTTATTCATCCGAGCCTGATCGATGGCGTGAATCGGTACTGTGACTCGGTGAGGGTCGGTGTGGTTGGGCGAGCAGGCAGTCTCGTCAGTAGTTGGCCCAACTTCTACTGACTGCTGGCGTTTCCCTGCCTCTGAGACTCCCTCCCCTGCTCTGCTCCGCGGCGCCTCAGCTCCTCTGGACATTCGCTCTTGCGATGGCCCGGCCTGTTGCAAGGAAAGTAGCGCCCCTTAAACGGTGCGGCAGCTGCATTTGTTGCAACGGCGTGTACAGTGGCATGCTCGATCGGTCCCCGGGGGCGATGTCTGTAGTAGGACCCCGGCCTCGGTCGGCGTAGGATGTCGATTTTCTCGGCGAGCGCGAGAATCTCGTTGAAGTTAGAGAGTCCGCGCAGCATGATTTCGTGCGAGATATCCGGCTTCAGCCCTCCGACGTAACGGTCCACCCGCTCCGATATGAGATCGTAGGCTCTGAATACCAAGTGTTATGAGTGCAATTGAGTGAACGAACGAGAATTGCACTATCGAAGCAAGAATACAATGAGTGAAGGCATGAGCGAAGACTATATAGCGAAACTACAGTGGTAACGGTAATGGACTGTAGTTGTCGCGCGACGAGCCTGGGACTGAGGTTGGGAAAGTGTCGAAGCGGAGGCCCGGAGCGCGGGTTACCAGCCGAGCAGGGATGCGAAGTAAGGAAAAGTGATTTTCCTTACAATCGGGGAATCATTCAGTTGCGAGTTTCCGTGTAAAATAACGGAGTGTAGTGTTAATTTGGGTGACCCGAATTGGTGTACCTGATCGTTGCCTCGGACCTCGGCGGTCGCGACGAGGAAAATTCTCTCTCCGCGGGAGTTGGCAGCCCGCTCCGAACGCGGCTCGCGGATGGTGTGCAACGTGGCGGACGTTGGCTGCACAAGCGTGCATGTTGCGGAACCTCCCCGCTGTGTGAGAGGCCCGCGTAGTTTGACCGCGAGTGCCGTCTCTTGATTCCCTCTCGGCCAACTCTTAGGTTCTCGGTACGGGCACCTGGAGCTCGTTTTCGTTCTCCGTCTTCACATCTTGTTTTCTTCCTGCTCGCCCGTTCCACGTAGAGGTCCTCATCGCCTAGTGCTAGCAGAGACTCTGCTTGGCCGCGTTCGCGCTTGGTAGCGTCTACCGTAGCTCTTATTTTCTGTCGCGAGCACTGTTTTGCGTACCGTTCGTCCTAGATACACGCGAGCACTGTTTCGCGTACAGTTCGTCCTAGATACACGCGAGCACTGTTTCGCGTACCTTTTGTCCTAGATACACCGTACCTTTGGTCGCGCTCTTGCGGTCGTACCAGTAATGAACCGCGAAATGAAGGCGCTTAGAGCTGGGTCGAAGGAGGCCGCCTCCTGTCCGGCCATCATCTCTGTTGCGGGAGCCACGGTGGACCTCCCCCCCGAGCAGTGGAAGCTGCTCGTTGAGGATAAGCAACCTCTCACGGCCCGTCTGTTCGACTTTGTCACCGGGTGAGATCCATGCGATCCATTCCCTGACTCCAATATGCACGCGTTGTTTATGGTCGCGGTGTTTAGGCTGTTCGCGACATGTCAGCAATATTTACTAGTGGGCAGTGCAGGCCGCGGCATACCTCCGCTGTGCTTTTAGGTCGCGTTGTTTATGGTTGAGCTTTTCCCCGCCGTGTTTTACACCGTCCCGCACAGCGTGATTGTCCGGAGGTATCTGGAGAAGGAGGTGCATGAGCACGTCCGAATCGTGACGAGTGGTGTTGTCGCGGACATAGTCGCGGGTCGCGATGAAGCGGTCCAAGCCTTTGCCGGTTTGATGGAGTGCAGCCTGGACGTTTTCAGCATCTGGTTCGAGTGAGTTTTCATTGGGAGTGTTCACTTGTACAGGGAATGCACTCGTTTACGTGGTTTAACGCGGTCGTCAATGGCACGTTCAGGGACTTGTTCGACAAGAAGAGCTCGAACGCGAGCATGCTTATTCTGCTTCACCCCGACCACCTGTCGCTTGACGGTGACGAGACGTGGAACACGCGGTTCGTTCGCGTTGCTATTCCCACTGGTGGTGCGGAACACGTCACCGCGGCGGATGCGATTATGGAGTGAGTAACGCGTACTGGTTTATCATCAGTTTCACGTTCATTTCCGCTCCGAGGCTCATGTCGCTAACCGTGCGTTCGCGAGGATATGTATGTGCTTTTGGGCAGGTGGTTTCAGGGTCGCGTCGACGAGGATTTTGCGCGCGGCTCCATTTCAGTGCACCCGCTCCCGCCAGCTTAAGGATCCCGAGCGTCTGTTGGATCTGGTACGTCTGTGTTGTGTACGTGTTCTCGATGACCGCCTATAGTTGCAGTGGTGCTAACAAACCCCATGTAATGTTTTCCACGACGCGACGTCATTGAAGGGCTCCTGCGGCAATCTCGCTTGTCTGTTCGCGTTCGACAAGATCCTTGCCCAGTTGGACGCGGTCGCTGCCAGTGGATCCGAGCCGCAATTCTCGAGGCCAACCGCGAAGACTCTGAATGCACTGCGGCATGAGGCGTACCAAACCGCCAAAGAGCTTGCGTTCAGCTTGAGCGTGGATTTGACGCGATCCAAGCACGGCGGTGAGGCTGAAGGTGCTGAAATGGGGAAGGTGCAGAAAGTGGCTACGGGTGCGCAGGTTGCTGACCATGGTGTTCTTGCTCTCACAGGTGCCGCTGGTGTTTCGAACCGCGGAGGTGCTCGGGGGGGGACGGTGGTCCACGCTGATGACGAAGGGGCCGAGGATACCGCGACTAAGGGTGCAACCCGCGATGAGGTTGACCGCGCTGTTGCGCGTGAGGGGGAGGAGTCGAGCGAGGAGGAGGCGGAGGCTCACGTGGTAGCGGCCGCGGCATCCAGCAGGCCCACTACATCCGGCAAGAGCATCAAGCACCTCGCGCAGCACTTGGCCCCCGGTGCTGGAAGCGCGGGCCTGAGTGGTGAGGTCGCGGGCAAGAGTCCCGTGACAGGTCCGCGTGATCACGCGTCCCTGTCCTCGTTGCCATCGCATAAGCTTGCTGCCGAGATCCTGCAGCTCGAATGTAGGCTTGCAGCGCAGGCCGAAGAGAACGCACGGCTGAAGAAACGCCAGGAGTCGGGGGTTGGTGGGGTCGCGGTCGTGGGCTTTGAGGAGCTTGCGTCCGCGCTTGCTAATGCGATTCGGATGTTGGAGAAGGAGGCGAGGGCGATCGCGCACGAAAGAGCGGCCCTGGTCGATACGCGTAACCAGGAGGCGTTGGTGCTGGGGCGAGTGGACGCGAGGCTGGGACAGCTGCAGGGGGGTGGTGACAGACTCCATGGAAGCCGCTCAGAAGAAGCTGACGGACAAGGTTGCACAGAAGATGGACAACATGTCGACCGCGATCTCCGCGACAGCAGAGCGGGCAATCACCACCAACGGGGTCACAAACGCGCTACACACCCTCATCGCGATCGTTGGAGGAGCCCCCCCGCCGCGCACGGATAATAAAGGAACGGCCGCGACGGAGATTGCCGAGACCGGGGATGCAGAGTATGGAAAGTGGGCAGCGGGTGCGAAGGCGGAGAATCAACGGGGGGCGAAGAGGCAGAGAGGTCCCCAAGCAGCGGCTGCGGTGCGCAATCCGAGCGTGCAGGACATGCTGAAGCAGAAGTGGGGCGCTGCATCGCAAGGTGTAGCACCGCCTGGTCAACCGGGTTCGAGCTCGCACTCCATCCCACCTGGAGAAGCTGCACCCAAACCACCGGGCCCTGCTAGGGCAACCGCGACAGTGACAAGTACTGTGGGTTGGGGCAAGGGTAAGGCGGAGGATGGAGAGGCGCCGGCTGCTGCGGGTTCGCTGGCCTCGAGGCGTGAGGTCCACTCCGCAACGGCTGCTGCGGCTGAGGGCAGGCAGACCACGCTCGCACCCGCTCGTGCTGCAATCACCGTGGGAAACCTGCACAGCGCACTAGCATCTGCAAGTCCTATCGCGGCCTCGGTCGAGGTCAAGGCGGAGAAACGCGAACGGGGTGGCAAGAAGTTGCCCCCTCCACCCGTGTACACGATCGACGAGGACGATGCGGATAAGGAGCTGTAGGGTCTCGTAAGCAGGTGGGTCGAGGCGGGCGACGGAGGAGAGCAGGGTGGGGAGGCCGCGGTCGATGTTTATAGCAGCAGGGAGAGCGCGGACGAGCAAGACGGAGACCCCGTGATCATGGATGGTGACACCGGCCCCAAGCGCAAGGGCTGCGGCATCCGGACTCCACCCAGGGGCGGGCCCGAATTGGTTTCTGAACCCCATCCGGGGGGGAAGAAGCGATGGCTCGGACACGGCGACCGCGAAGACTTGCAGTACAAGACCGCGATCGCGATGTATCCCTACGACGGGAAGGTCGACCCCGGGCTGAACCTGAGCCAGCAGCAGATCTGAGAATGGGCCGCGGACCTGTCTATCGCCGAGGGGTTACATACGGGCCTCTTAATCACCATGCACTACCGCAACCTCGTGGCAAGCAAGGACAGGAGAGCTGTGCCAATCCACCCCGTTCTGAAATGTGCGGATCCTTTCGCGTTTTGGTTGTAGAGGCGCTCGTTCCGAGCGCTTTTCTCCCGCCGGGACACATGGCTCCGCTTGTCTGGGCCTATTACCAAGTAGGCAAGGGCGTGGGAGGATTGCGAGCATCATCGATCATCGATACTCGCGAATGAAGAGCGCCCCTGCACTTCCTGCACATGTGCGGATCCTACCGCGTTTTGGGGATGGAAGCGCTCGTTCCGAGCGTTTTTCTCCCGCCGGGTCATATGGCTGCGCTTGTCTGGGCCTTTTACCAAGCCAGCAAGGGCGTGGGAGGGTTGCGAGCATCATCAGTCATCGGCGCTCGCGAATGACGAGCGCCCGCTGCACTTTCTGCACATGTGCGGACCCTTCCGCGTTTTGGGATTAGAAGCGCTCGTTCCGAGCGTTTTTCTTCCGCCAGGTCACGTGGCTCCGCTTGTCTGAGCCTATTACCAAGCCAGCAATGGTGTGGGAGGGTTGCGTGTCAGAACATTATAGCTTATACATTTGTGTAGGCTGTAGTGGGGTATCCCATAAGGGGTACAACCCAATTAGGGTTAGTACTTGTACCCAACTCTTTCATAGTTCATCCATTCTCTAGTTCTCATCTTCACATGGTACAAAGTTGGTTCCCTCGTGGGAACTGTTCCTAGGGCCCACCGACTTTTTTTTCCTGCCCTGAGCACGCTTGGCCCTTGCCCAAGTCGCGCCCCGTGTCGTTCCCCCTCTAGCGGCCCCTTTTACGGCCCCTAACGACCCCGTCGCGTCGCCCTTTCGGCCCCGTCGCGCCGCCCTTTCGGCCCCGTCGCGCCGCCCTTGCGGCCCCGTCGCGCCGCCCTTGTGGCCCCATCGCGCCGCCCTTTACGCGGCCCCGTTGCCGCCCCTTCCTGCGGCAAAGTCGCCGCCCTTTGAGCGGCCCCGTCGCCGCCTTTTCAGCAGCCCCGTCGCCACCCTTCCACGGCCCCGTCGCCGCCCTTCCACGGCCTCGCCGCCCGCCCTTACAGCGGCCCCGTCGCCCGCCCTTCCGCGGTCCCGACACCGCCCTTCCGCGGCCCCGTCGCCGCCCTCAAGCGGCCCCGTCGCCGCCCTTCAGCGGCTCCATCGCCGCCTTTTCAGCAACCCCGTCGCCGCCCGTCCTTTTAGCGGCCCCGCCGCCGCCCTTCCACGGCCCCGTCGCCGCCCTTCCACGGCCCCGTCGCCGCCCTTACAGCGGCCCCATCGCCCGCCCTTCCGCGGCCCCGTCGCCGCCCTCCAGCGGCCCCGTTGCCGCCCTTCCGCGGCCCCGTCGCCGCCCTTTCAGCGGCCCCGTCGCCGCCCGCCCTTTCAGCGGCCAGTCGCCCCCCTTGCAGCGTCCTGTCGCCGCCCTTCCAGCGACCCCGTCACCGCCCTTCCACGGCCCCATCGCCGCTCAGCCGCCCAGCACCCGAGCCGCCGAGCAGCTGAACCGCCGAGCAGCCGAGCCGCCCGACAGCCGAGCCTCCGAGCAGCCGAGCCGCCGAGCACCCGAGCCGCCCGACCGCCGAGCCGCCCAGCAGCCGAGCCGCCCGACCACCGAGCCGCCGAACCGCCGAACCGCCCGACCGCCCCACTTGCCTGGTAAGAGCTGAGTCTCTGCCATTGCACTGCCCTACCCCACGGTACTCACTGCCTGTCTACTGCTGTCATGGCCTCCCCTAGTGTTCTCACCTTTGACGCTGAGGGTCGGGCAGTGGACTTTGAGGTCTGGGTAGATGATCTGCAGCTTTTCCTACAGTGTGATAGGGCAGACAGTCTCTCCCTCTTTGACCTCACTTCTGGTGCCTCTCCTGCCCCTGCTGCTGATGCTGACGCCACTGTTCGCTCATAGTGGGCCACGCGTGATGCTGCTGCTCGCCTTGCTGTGCGCCGCCACTTACCGACCGCTGAGCGTGCACACTTTAGCCAATACAAGAGTGCTCAGACCTTGTATGACGCTGTAGTTGTACGCTACTCTTCCCCTGCCACTGCTGCATTGAGCCGCTTGATGCTACCGTACCTCTTCCCTGACCTCATCACGCACCTCCGCACTAGTGACACTCGCTACCGCGCTGCGCTTCCTGCTGAGTTCTGCGCCAAGAACTCCCCCCCCCATGTACATCACCCTCTACTACATAGTCACCCTTGACTCGGGTGCGTCCCGCTCAGTCGGCCGGTTGCAGTCTCCCTGTCAGACCCCTCTGGGGGTCCTGTCCTTGCTAGCTTCTCCACTGTCCTTCCATGCCCTGCAGCCCCCTCTGGCACCCTGTCAGGTCTCTACCTCCCCTCGTTCTCTACGAACTTGGTGAGTGGAGCGGACCTACAGGATAGGGGGGTTGACCAGTTCACTCCTGCGACTTAGCGAGTGACCCACTGCACGTGTGCTCGGACAGGCCGACACTTGGCCACGTTCACCCGTCGGCCAGGGTCGAGCCTGTACACCCTTACTACTGAGTCTCCTCCGGCTGCTGAGTCTGCCCAGGTAGTTGCGTCGAGTCAGGTGTTTGCTGCAGCGTCCAGGTCCGGTCCTGAGTCTGCTCCCTGCTCGTGTCGTCTGCTATCCCACCAGACTCTCCTTTGGCACCACCGCCTTGGTCACCCCTCCCTGCCTCGTCTCCGAGGCATGGCCTCCCGTGTCCTTGCCTCTGGTCTCCCTCGGTCTCTCCCTTCCCTACCTCCGGGGCCTGGCCCTACCTGCGTCCCCTGCGTCGAGGGGAGACAGCGCGCTGCCCCTCACTCCTCCGAGTTTCCTCCAACAGAGGCTCCGCTGCAGACTCTCCACATGGACGTGTGGGGCCCAGCCCGCGTCAGTGGGCAGGGGCGCGAGCGGTACTTCCTGCTGGTGGTTAACGACTACTCGCGTTACACCACTGTCTTCCCCTTGCGCAGCAAGGGTGACGTCACTGAGGTGTTGATCGACTGGATCCGCGCAACTCGTCTCCAGCTCAGGGAGAGTTTCGGCTCGGACTTTCATGTTCTGCGTCTGCACTCGAATAGAGGCGGAGAGTTTTCCTCTGCCCGTCTGGGAGCCTTCTGTCGTGCACAGGGCATCCGTCAGACCTTCACGCTTCCGGCCTCTCCACAGCAAAATGGGATTGCTGAGCGCCGCATTGGCATGGTCATGGACGTCGCTCGTACGTCCATGATGCATGCGGCTGCACCCCATTTTCTGTGGCCGTTTGCAGTTCAGTACGCCGCGCATCAGCTCAACCTTCAGCCCCAGGTCTCCATGCCGGAGACCTCCCCCGCCTTGCGGTGGACCGGGAAGGTTGGCGATGCGTCTGCGTTTCGGGTCTGGGGATCTCGGGCGTTTGTCCGTGACTTGTCTGCGGACAAGCTGCCCCCCCGTGCTGTTCCCTGCGTCTTCCTTGGCTTCCCCCCTGACGCGCGTGGTTGGCAGTTTTACCACCCCACCTCGCGCCGTCTTCTGTCCTCCCAGGACGTCACCTTTGACGAGTCGGTGCCTTACTACTGTCTCTTCCCCTACCGCACTGCGCCCCTTCCCCCGCCGCCGCTCTTCCTTGCACCAGGTCCTCCCGAGGTAGACCCCCTCCCCCCTCAAGGTCCTGCCCCGTCAGGTGTGTCCCAGGTAGACGCAGTCAAGCCTGTCGAGGTAGCTGTTGACTCTGGTGCTGCTAAAGTTGCTGAGCCTGCGGGTGCCGGGTCTGGGGGTGATGAGACTGGGGTGCTGAGCCTGGGGGTGCGGAGTCTGGGGGTGCTGAGACTGGGGGGTGCTGAGTCTGGGGGTGCTGAGCCTGGGGGTGCTGAGCCTGGGGGTGCGGAGCCTAGAGGTGCGGAGCCTGGGGGTGCCGAGCCTGGGGGCGCTGGGTCTGCTCGTGTGGCCGCCGGCGGTGCTTCGTCGAGGCGGGAGCCACTCTCTCCACAGGAGCTGCGCGAGTGGTTTGCCCGCCGCTGGAGACGTGCTGCTGAGACTAGGGGTGCTGCTGGGGCTATTGGAGTTGGTCCTGCTGGAGCTGCTGGCGGTACGAGTGCTGCTAGAGCTGAAGCTGCTGGGGGTGTTGACGCTGGTGTTTCTACTGACGCTGGTGCGTCTGGGGGTGCTGCTGAGGCTGCTGGTGCTGACGGTCCTACTGGAGTTGGTGCTGCTGGAGCTAGAGCTGCTGGGGGTGTTGGCGGTGGCGGTGCTGCTGGCGCTGGCGCTTCTGAGGGTGCTGGAGTTGGCGCTGTTGGAGCTGGATGTGCTGCTGGCACTGGTGCTGCCGCTGGGGGTACTGGTGCCGTCCTTGCTGGTTCTGCGCGGCCGAGGCCGTACTTCGTTCCGCTCATGGAGCAGGTTCTTGGTCTCCCGCCCTCTCCAGGTCTTGCTCCTCCCTTAGAGTGTTCACAGTCTGTCCAGTCGCAGTCACAGTTACAGCCCGGCTCCCCTCTACCTGCTCCTTCTCCCTACACTGGTCCTACTGGAGGTCTTGCTGAGCATCGTGAGCCTGCGTCTCGTCCTGCGTCGCCTGTTCGTGCTGCTCGCACTAGTGGTCGTACTGCGCGTCCGCGTCCTCCTGCGGTCCCCGGCACACACCAGATGGCGCTGT